CAAGGGTGATGAGCAGCAGGCAGAGGAAAAGAATAACTGTAGGTTCCTCTTCAGTGGGAGTGAGGAACTGGTCCTTCTTCCATCCCGTTGAGACAAAAATAAAAGTGAAATTCTTGCATCTGTTTCTCGGTAATTTGGAAATCTGTAGCTTCCAGGAACAAAGCTCCCACAATTTATTAAAAGCTGTGCTTCTATTTGTGTCTTTGACTCATAGAACAGAAAGAATAACAAACACCTAGACTGAAAGAGATTTAACAGTGGTAGCAGCAGGGTGAAGGAAATTGAGCTCTCAGTGTTTTTCTGAGTCTGAAATGGTAGAGTTGCTTTCCCCCAGAGAGTTAACAGATAGTGGTGTTTGCAATAGATGGAATTGTTGATCCAGATGAGAACTATGCTGTCAATTTACTAGTCTGGAAGAATATAAGAAAAAGAGCTTATAGCTGCAATAATTTTGGTAGATCTTCATAAGTGACGTATGAGAAGAGGTTTAAAAGGTTTTGCTCAGTTCATTAATACATTTCTTTTGAGCAAGAATTCATCTTGAAACTTAATAATATTATATCCCTCAGCCTTGTGTCATGCCTTAGGTAGGTAAATATATTTGTTACACAGTTACAGCTGGGAAAAATTGAACCATGAAAGGATCATGACTTATTCAAGGCCAGAAAAGTCCTCTGTAGTACAGCCAAGAAGAATATCCAAGTTAGACATCAAGCTATCAATATTCTAAAGAATATCTGAGGTCAAAAATTGAACTGATTTCAGTAGTTAGTGCAAAATGTACAAACAAGTGATAAAAAAAAAAATCAAGGCAGCAGATATACTGTACAAGGACTATGCTCTAGCTTGCTGATTGCTCTGTTGCCTGTTTTTGCCTGTCTTTCATACTTAAATTGCAAACTCTTTGGAAAGAGATCACCTTTTTTCTTTGGATCATATGGTACATAGACCAAAAGGTTCACCAGTTCATGAGTAGATGCTCCAGCAGAAAAAATTGTTAAGTGTAAGGAATGTGACTAGACAATGTAGGAGTGTTGTAAGTAGCATCACCACCATTATTTCTTAAAAGGAATCAGGGAACTGTTATTACACGCTTTGGCAGAACAAGGAGATTTAAGTACAGCTCTTTCCTTATACTATGTGTCTGAAACCTAGGTCAAAACATCACTCTCAGTTTCACAGATCCAAAAACCATTTTTAACAAAAGTTCAGTACCATGTGGACTGAAATGTGAGGGGAAAAAATCTTTAAATGTGTTTTCCTTTAAAATATTTATGAAAAGCATAAGTAAAACATTAAGGAAAGAAATTTATAAATAGCAGTAGATTCCCAGTGTGTGAACAAAACCTCTATAATTTTCTGTAACAGATTTCAATTTTACCTGACATCCTCTCTCCTGAGAAGTGGTACAGGATCCTGATTTTCTGAAGGAAATTTCTTCTGAAAGGTATACCTTAATGCTATAAAGTAAGAATGGTGCATCAGCAAGACGGCAATGCATTTCTACAGAAAACAGTAATGCCAGCAGAGTTTCAGTAAGGCCTAGGAAAGTAGCATGAAAAGGTCCTCAGATTGGTTCTCATTTAGTTGCTTGACTTTTCCATTACATTACAGAGGAGTAAACAGGAAAGGATTTTGGCTTACAAGCAGGTTTGTTTTCCCTTTCTCACAACGGAAAGAATGAATAGAAGATCAAGGTGGGGATAAGTCTTTCTACAGAGACTAACAAGACATGGAGAATCCAGTTTGTATACAGTATTAAAACACTTTTTGCATGTTTAGTCAAGACCAGAAACTATGGATTGTGTTATCTCTCATATTTATTCTGTTTGTGCATGATGATGCCTAGGTTATGTATTCAGGGGCACAGCAGATCCCTATCTCTAGCATGTTGAAAATTGTTGATTATTCATTACACTGTTACAAGTTTTGTGCAACAAGGAAACTCCTTGGCTTGCAAAATCTTAGTGTGTTCCCAAACAGAAGTTTCTTTGTGTACAACAGTAGATGTTCCAAATATTGCACGATGCTAATTTGAGGCCAAAGGCCTCTGTTTCATAACAAACCCTGGGTGCCGTTGCTTGTGACTAAAAACTGCTAAAAGTCTCAGGTTACCTTCTAGAGCTGTGTTTTAGATTGACTGGGAAATAATTTGTGCAAGAAATAACTGAGTGTCTTTCAGAGCTCTTCAGTAAGTTTTGCACTTTTTTTCAATCAGGTCAACTTGTTTATTTAAGTGCAAAAAAAATTTAAGAGCAAATGAGAAAACACAGATGTCAACCAGCATGTTCAATTTCTGATTTCAAAGTGGTAGAGCCTTTATATTGTGCATAAATCTGTGTTGCATGCCAGCAGTACACTACATAGTGTTCCAGAGTGAGGAATGGAAGGTGGGTTTTATTATCCACTGTGCTTCCTTCTCTGGCCAAGGCACTGTGGAGAAACATATTTTTGAAAAAAAGTAAGGTGAATATAAGGATTATAGGCAGAATGTACTTTATTAGAATTGGAATTCAGACAGTAATGAAAGGATAAACAACCATTACAAGGCATGCCATGCATTTTTAAATGACAGAATACTAAGGGTTTTCCACTTTGCATCTTATCCAAAAGTAATGCAAACCCTTGACAGCACTGGCCTTACTCAAAAGGCAAAATAATGCCTTAACAGGAATGGTGACAGCATCCGTCTCCTTTTAGCTATTTCTTACAGTGGTGCCTCCCACTGTCCCTGTATTTTATATTTTGCCCTGTTCTTAGCTGCTTTCCAGAAAACATTTCACCTCAGTGTACATGCACATTCCTCAGTACCCCACTGCCACTCTGACATTTTCCTTGAATTTCCTGTTTCCTTCTCCCCTGTTGGAGTCTTTACACCCTGAGAGAGCTGTCCCCTTGACCTGTCATACGCGTTGTATACACCCTTAGCTCCTAGATTTACTTTTATTGAAGATATGCTTCTTCTTCTCTGTATTCTATTCCAACCAATCAATTCTGTTCTATTCCAACCAATCACTATTCAAACAGATATTCCTCTTCCATTTGATGAGCATTTATAAAATACCGAAAGTCATCTTCTTGTTCTGTTGAAATGTCTTTAAAAGCATAGGGGTTTGTGTGGTTATTTTCTTTCTTTTTTCTGTAAATGTGATTTTATGGCAGAGAGGAATATTTTAAAAGATATAATAGTGCACTGATTTGCATGGAACTAATTTCATGCTGTGTCTACAAAGTGGATACTTTGTTATCTTATTCCCATGAGTAACATTCTCACTTTGTCAATGTGTCTTGGTCTAGGAATCTTCCAGAAAAGTCTCTCTAATTTGCAGCAGAGGCTTGTCAAATACTACCTTTATGAAACTCAGAATTAATTTATATCTCTGAGTGGCACATTACAAGAGAATATTAGATGATCTGCTCATCCCAAAGAAACCATACTTGCAAGATGACAATGAATTCAATTGACCTTCTCACAGCGTCCTTCACTGAAAAACTCGCACAAGGACAGTGGTGGTGCGGCATCTTGGCAGACCACCTAAATAATTCGCTCAAGGCCTTACCTATTGATATTATTCTGCAAGAATATAGAGCACAAAGAGTGTCCTCAGGCTTTTGTCTAGAGGGAAAAACTTCTTCCTATCTCCTCATCACATCCTCCAGCAAAGACCCTATGTTTAGGTCAGCCTCTGATGATATATGAAAGGCAAGAAAGAATCTGCTTTCTGTTAGAAGGTAATTCTCACTCAACTGGTACTTCAGATGAAATCACTGATCCCAGCACATTGACTATACTAATAATCATTGTTGTGACGCTTAGTTAATGTTACACCTGGATGTTACACCAAATTCTGAGAAATAAGCCTGAAATATTCAGCTTAAGTGCTTTGAATTGTGTGACTTCTAAAGTCACACAATAAAAACCACACCATTTTGAAAACAACCTTGTATGCACAGCAATATTCGGTTTTCGTTTTCTCATCTCAGATCAAAAAGCAAAACCACCCCAATGCGGTCGAGCGAAAATCCCGACAAGTAGAAAATTTACTTGAACCTCCCAAGGTTCGGTCATGTGATGTCTCCTGCCTTTCTTCTGTCTCGCAGTCTCTCAGGAAACAGCCGCAGCGGTAGGTGTGCGTGGCAGGGTATAGCCCATCTGCATGTGCATTCCTGCGCACACATGGAGGCGGGCGCGCTCCGGGACATTAACGCTTCTCCGTCGTTTGCAGACACGGAGAAGGAGGACCTGAGCATGGGGGCAGCGGCGCCGGCCCACTGAGGGCAGCCCGGCGAAGGACGCGCGGAGGCTGCGAGCGAGGATGTGCATTTAATTTCCTACTGACTCCAGAGAGGGACGACCAGGTGAGCAGGGGCACACCGGAGAGGCGATTCCTCGGCCGCACGCAGCGAGGCACCGCGGGCGCTCCGCTCCTCCCGGCCGCTCGCCGGCTGCCAGGGCAATGCTGGGGACGGGAGAGGCTCACATTAAGGGGGTGCGAGCGGGAGCGCTCCGAGATCCGGGAAAGGCTCCTCCGCGCCCCGCACGGGGGAGCCCGGCCCGCCCGCCCGGCCGGCCGTGCCGGCCGTACCCGCCCCTGGGCCACCGGAGCCCCCGCAGCTCTTCCACACGTGGGGAGGGCCGCGTGGGGGCGGGGCCGCGCTTGGCGCCTCCACCGGCTCCCGGGCTCGGCCTGGCCGCACGCACGGACGGACCCCGTCCGGCTCCAGTCCCGGCCGCAGTCCCGGCCCCCGCCCCGGCCCCGGCCTCGGCCCCGCGGAGCAGCAGCGGCGGCGGCGGCGGCAGGCGCGGCTCCCGCCCCACCCCGACACCTGCGCGGGGGCGGGCGGGGCGCGGCTCCGCGGCACCTACGGGCGCGGCCCCGCCCCCGGCGCCCGCCGCCGCCAATCCGCGCCCGCCGTCCGCCCCCGCCCTACGCCGTTTGCGCAGGCGGCGCTGTTTGCGCAGCGCGCTGTCCGCCGGCGGCCCCCGGTGCTCGGGAGCCCGATGTGACCCAACAGAGAAAATGGCGGCGGCGGCGGGGGATCGCGCCTCGTCATCGGGATTATCCTCGGGCGGCGGCGCGGAGGCGGCCGCCGCCGCCGCCTGCGGGAGCCTGAAAGGCGGCGTGGTGGCGGGGAGCGTCGCCGGGAGCGGCGGGGGGCTCTTGCGGGAGGCGGGCGGCGGCAGCCGAGAACAGCGCTCTGACTGGAGACGGAAGCAGCTGCGCAAAGTGCGGAGCGTGGAGCTGGACCGACTGCCGGAGGCGCCCCTCTTCCTCGCCGCCGCCCCAGCCGCCTCCTCCTCTTCCTCCTCCTCCTCGCCGGAGCCCCCCGAGACGCTGCTGCTCCACTACCTGCCCGGGCCGCCGCGCTCCAGCCCCGCCAGCCCGGCTGCCTCCCCCAGCCGCTGCGCCGAACTCCTGGAGCCGCTGCCGGCGGGGAGCCCGGCGGGGACGGACCCCGCCGCGGAGCGGAGGATGGAGCCATCCCCCGCCGCGAGGTGAGGGGCGCCTACGGCTGGAGGGGCGGGCAAGGGTCAGTCCCGGCGGGCGCTGCGTGACAGCAGCGGCATCGGGGCTGTTCCCGCGGACGGGGCTCCGGGCGGGCTCCGCCGCCCCGTTCCCCCCTGGCCGCGGGCCGGTAGCGGATGCGGGGGCGGCGGAGCAGCCGCGGAGCGCAGCGCTGGGGCGCGCCTTCCCGCGGGGCACCTGGTCCGGGGCTGAGGGAGGGGCACGGCCGGGCCGGGCCGGGCTGCCCCGCCGGCCTCAGCTGTCAGCGGTGCGGGGCTGCGCGGGAGCCGAGCCGAGCCGCGGGGGGCGGCCCGTCTGGCTGCGGGGTGCGTTTGTGCTTGACTTCGGCCGGAGTCCCGAAAGGCTTTGAAGTGTGAGCTCGGGGCGGTGGCGGGGCCGGGGCCGGATGTGTCAGCAGCCATTGGGGCGCGGGGCGAGCGAGCGCGGAGCTGCCCGCGGGGCCGCGGCCGGGGCCGGGCTGCGGGCGGCGGCTGGGCGCCTGCTCTGCGGGCTCCCCGGGCGCTGCCCGAGCACTTTGCTGCAAAACTGAGTAATCGACTTTATTATGTCTCTATTTTCCCCTTCCCCCCTCCCCTCGACTTCTCCGAAGTCAGATTCTAGTTTGCAGCTTCGCGATAATGCAGAACTGATTTCTTTTAGTAAGAAGAGGAAAGACTTTGAAGCATAAATATTCTCGCTGTTTTTCTAGGAGAAAGTAAGGTCGTGGCTTAGTCCAGGTGAAAAATTGCAGTGGTTGTGTTCAGTGCCCTGGTGTTTGCAGCCTATATTTGCCTTCTATATGTATTAATTGATAAGTCCACTTTCTTGTGATCTGCCACTATTTTGCCTGTTTAACTTGTATGCAGCTATTCATGTTGAAACGAACTTATGCCCGCAGTGAAGCAGTTTAAGTACTTTAGAACACATTTCAGCTTTAACGTGTACTCGCTGGGTCTTACTGGTGTACGTGTGTGTAGACACTGCAGTACGACCCGGTAATTTTGATGTGAAGATGACAATTTCACCTGTATCTCTTGTAAGGTTTTATCTGGTGTGTACTCTGTAGTTTAAGAACTTAATATTAACATCCAGGGACCTATTTTAATGATGCCTTATAGTTTGCCTCATCATTTAAACCTCATAAAAATATAATTCCTGTTTGGAGGTATGGCTTGTGTGTTCTTTTAGTTGTGTCTTCTGTCAGTCAAACCTCAGGAGTATTTTTTTGAAGGTTGAATTACCACAGGAGTACTGTAATAAGAACAGTTTTCTAGACCAATGTCCTGTTTATATGTATTCTCAGCAATTCAGATGGATTTTGGCCTGTTCCTAGGGCAGTGGAAAATACTTGTTGTGGTGTGGTTGTGCAGATAAGAAATGGCTCTGTACTTACAGAAGGATTAGCAGGAAATAGTAAATGTTTTGGGGAACGGTAATGATGTACACATTTTAGTGAGTGCCTTGTCTTTTTATAAACTCTTAGCACCATCCTTGTTTTTATAAAGTCATGATATTGTAATGTACTGCATATTGTAATGCATTAATAATGTATCAAGTTTCATGGCTTTCAAGAAAAAAAAAAAGAATATCAGAATATGTTTGAAGAGGCTGAGTCTCATGGTGATAGCAAGTGGGAGTCAGACTCAACGTTGGAGGTGCAGGAAGGTCAATGTATGTCGCATCAGTGGTGAAACGCTGCGTCCATCCTGGCTGGTTAGTCCCACAGCAGCAATGACAAAGCAGCTGTGGAAAATTTTTCCTTTTCACATGGGCAATTTTGATTACTTTTAGGTACCTGCATTTTGCCAAGTCAGTGTGTTGAGAGTGTATACACGTTAAAATACTTGTAAGCGCTTTGTGCTATTTTACTAGGAATGTTAACAAATCCTAGAAAACACTGAATGCCAAAAGCTTTTCTCTTAAGTATTTCAGTGAGTCTGCTTTGAGTTTATTATAAGGGCAGTTGAAAATACATGACAATTTTAACAATGATTGTCCTTCAGAAATACCCATAAATGCTCATTTATGGGTAGAGTATCTCAGTAATTCTGTGTGCTGTATTACCAATAAACAGATATTAGACCAAGTAGTACTTTATCAAGCTGCTTAAAAAATTCAAAACATCTATCTGTCCTCATTTTAATATTGACTTTTTTCAGCTGGAGGAGAGAGCCTAATTTATATGTGAGTAACATATAAATATTATATATTTATATATTAAATGTGTATTACTCACATATAAATATGTGAGTAATGCACATTAAATTTGCCTGGGCAGCTGTTGCCCTGATATTTATTAAGACGCAAACTTAAAGGCATAATTTAAAGAATGTTTTATCGGGCAGGCTTTGAATGCAGTTAGTTGTACTTTCCTATAAGGATCTACTATGAGTTAGAAGATATGCTTGCTCCAAAGTCCCCCTATCAGTCTCTTTGGTATTACAGTTAATTCCTTTTAAATAGATTCTCTGTTTCTGTTTATGCTGGAAGAACTTCTTGAGTCTCAAAATGAACCTGAGAAGGGAAACTGACTGCTGTTGAATTATAGATGTAAATATTACCTTTTTCCTTCAAGCTCCCAAGCATTCTGCATGTCAGGCAGTAGAGTGAATATTTTCACTAAAAGCAGTGAAGGGTCTAAGCTGTCTTATATCACTGCAAGAGAAGAAGGGAGCTGTTTTCGTAGGAATTGCAGCTTCAACATGATAAAGCACTTCAAATCTTTTATCCCATATATGTTGTTTACTGTTGGTATATTGTTTTTGTTCATAACAAGAGCCAAATAGTGAATTCATTGATAACTGTAGTATGATTTCTTGTCGCATAAGGGAAATCCATGGAGATAAAATGCACTTCCTTCTCTTTGAGCTTAACAATATGCTTTTAAAACATCCAGACCTTAAAGTGATGTTTGTATCTGAAATTGGTGTAGATGCCTTATTACTTCCTCAAGTACAGCATTAGTTTATATTGCTGCAATCATGTTTTTATAAAAATGAAAGGAAATAAATGGTGCAGTTCATCTGTGTGCTATAACCACATGCTCTGTGACTTCCATGAAAATTAGGTGTTTGAAAAGGCGTGTGCTAGATACGCTAGTCAGCTGCAAGACTCCCCTTGTAGATGTTTATAGTGTATTTTTCTGCAGTTGCCGTTTGACGCATGCTAGAGGCACCAAAGTCACACTGTAAAACTGAAGTTTTGTCTGTATGTACAAGTGTGCTAGTAAAAGCTCATCAGTTTCAGCCATGTTTATCAATTTGTAGCACCTTTGACTTTCAAAGGAGGACATGAATGCTTCTAACAGCGCACTGGGAGTTGTAGTGAGAACAGGAGAGCATCTACAGTGATCGCACAGCATGGCCAAGGATTTGTCATTGAAATGCAAACTTTTTCTGTTCTTCTCAGAATGTAGCTAAGGTAAAAAAAAAGAAATATCTTATTATTGATCTTGGCTATTCCCAGATAAGGTAAAATATAATTATGTATTTTATCCAAGTCTCTAATTCTTGATGTTTGTAACCATCTATGTAAATAAGCTACCAAATTTTCTGCTTCCAGTTTGAGCGGATACTGTGGGGAGAGAAGATTGCCTTTCTACCTCTTCTGTGCTCTGTGGCTTGGGAGTACTTTTGGAAGAGGGTCACCCTCTCCCATGTCTGATTTTTATCACTCTTAGTTATTGCAAGTGGTAGAGTTCTGCTTAAATGGTCTGATCGGGTATGGCAGTTTCTTTGTTCCTGTGCAAAGTAAATAGATTGTAACTAACTAATCTGGAGCTTTCTGTCTCATTGGATTTAGTGATACTAAAGGTTCAGTCTCTACTGTCACTCAGTGGAGTCTAAGTCTGCTCAGTGCAATACCTGTGTGTAGACGTGTGCAGTTGTATCTTACCCAAAGGCTGAACATGTAGAGCACAAGATTTGAATACCAGTTTTTCCTTCTGTATGATGGATTTGAACTTCACAAGACCTTTTAGTGTACTAGCGCTTTCAAAAGTAATGGTGCAGCTGTGCAGAGATTTATGCTGCTGCAGGGAGGCATGAGGCAGGAGTAGAAACAGGCATCTGGGGGTGTAATGACTATGGGAATACTTCTGTTGGCTTTCACTGGCTTCCAGTGTTGGTGAAACTTAGCTTAAGCTTGTTTAAAATACAAATTATACGTTGCCATGTAGCTGTTTTTTAAACAAACTTGTAAAGCTAGTTTTCAGCAGAAGTGGTGATAAGAGGATGGATCTGGTTTGAGTTCTGAGTTTCTGAGGCTAATCTGAGTGTTCTCAGAGGATTCTCTGCAGAGACCCGAGGGTCATCTTAATTTACTTTTTATCTGCTGTGCGCTCACTTAAAGCTCTAGAATTACAGTTCATTCTTTTTCTTAAGGCAGAGTGGCCAAAAGCCTTTTAAAGGGCTTCATTACTTGTCTCTGTATGACTAGGAGAACGTGGTTAAGTGGAGAGCTGCTTTCTGTTGCTACCCTCCCTTTTTATCTTTACCCGAAGGCTGAGTGTATTGCCTGCAGGGTTGCTTCCGCTTTCCAGTCTCACGCTGCACAAGTAGAACTGGAGTGTTCTGGTTGGTGCTGAAGTGTCTTGACTATTTTTTTCCTGTATGTTTGGAGTTTTGAGGGGGTTTTGGTTTGGTTTGTTGCTGGTGGGGGGAGGGGTTGTGGGTTTTTTTGGTTGGTTTCTTTTTTTTTGGTCTGTTTCTTGGACTGTAGGATTTGGGGGTTTTGTTTTTGTTGAGTTTTGGGGGTTTGTTTGCTTTATTTTGTTGCAGTTTGTTTGTTGGTGTGCTTTTAGAAGATCAGTTTTGTTGACTTTTGGCTGTAAAATGTCCTGAAAACACAGCAGCTCTATTTACTTGCTATCTAAGAGCAACTTGAAATTGGAAATTATTTACGTTCTGTCTGGAAATGGATGAAATAGTTTTTAAATTGTCATAATAAAAGGTGATAGAGGCATCAGTCCCTCTCTTTTTTGGCTTGTTAA